AAAAAAAAAAAAAAAAGCTATAATCGTGGTCTCTCTTGGGGACATGTGTTTCCCTATCAATAAACATATTTAATGCTCCCTTTAGCAGGGAGCATTGACGGAAACCCTGGACAGCCTCAGCCTATCCTAATTAAAATAAACGAAGGTACTATTCTCTTAACTTAAAATCACTGTTCCAACTTTCCCATTCTTTATCATCTCCTGGTCCACGGGATACCCGATATGGATTTATAACTACGTTTCAGAATCTTATATGAAATAAATGACTCTGACAGAGCCTATTCAGAGTGACATTAAATGACAAACAAGCAGAGACAGTCTTCCTAAGACAAAAACAAAGCATTTAGAACAGGTTTTCCAAACCAAGGGAGCTTCACCTAATATGGATATTTATTCTTCATACAGAGCTGTGGAGTCCAAGATCACAGTTCAGAATTTCTAACTAGGTCCAAGAGCCTAGGGCCTTTCAATACTATCAAGAGAAGAGAAGCATCTCACTTATAACTGGAAATTAGCTCTAATTTAATTCAGTAAACTTCCTTCTTGAAATGAGGGAGGGCGTCTGTGTGAGAAAATGAAGTCCATAACCAAATCATTTGTTATACTTAGTATTCACGTGAAATCCTACCACAGGCTGCACTGGCACTTCCTTAATTCTCTCTTTTAATTGGCATAATTTCAAATCACATTATTGAATGACAAAGCAGCCATCTATTTTAATTCAGTCGCTATAGCCATGTTAAGTGATTTCATTTTTCCTGATAGGAACACAGATACATGCTGAGTTGCCCTTCTCCTAAATGGAGGCCCTCACCTTTTTAAAATTTATTTATTTTCCCCTGGGCAGTAAGTGAGTCGTCATGTGTAATGTAACTCAAAAATAGCTTTCGAGTCACGCAAATTTCCAGGCTACCTTCATTTCTGTCTTGTTTCCTTATCTTTTAGCCACGTAGGGAAAAACTCTAAGAGAAACACAATCTTAGTGCGTGTCCTTATTTTCTTTTTAAATCCTCATCCTACCTTATATCTGGCATAAACTAGAAAATGCTATGTTATCCGAGCACAAAGTAAGTGAAAACATGTAATAATTAACTGGCAAGTAAACAGAGCTACACCTGCTGTTGTAATTACACGCAAATGTCAACGAGCTTGGCTCTCCGGTGCCAGCATCCCTGGTGTGAGCCCTAGCCAATCCTCTGAGATTCTGCTCTTGTTGAGGCCTTCAGGCCTCAGAAGTCCTCACCCTGAGTGATGTACAAAATGATCCACAGACGCAACCAATTCGACCTGCGTTCATCTGATCCTCACCGTCGTCTTGTCCAAACTCACTTTCAATCTGTCAGGTCCCCAAATGCAGCAACAACAGAACGAAGACATCACAGATTTTCCTCCTAGGGGTCCCCAGGGTTGTTGAGATGTTTGCCTAAACAAAGCCAGCTGAAACCCTCTTCATTTCTTGGCCCCAAACTTGACTGTGTAAGACACTCGCTCGGCTGGCAGCCTGTTAAGTGCATGTTCTTGTGAGCCCCGGACTGTGTGATCGTGACCACTCTGTCCACCCGAAGTAAAGCCACATCCCCACGCAGGAGCGACATCATCGTGTCAGCCCAAATCAGAAGGAGCTGTCCCCGAACTTCAAGTACTAATCTCTTCAGTGCTGCTGAAGTACCAGAATCTATCCCTAAGAGCCTAACACATTTCCTATGTTTTGCTGATAGAAGTTTTTGGGAAACCTTGCCTCTGCTTCCACGGCACTTCTATTCACAGCTGTTCAGATAACAGACTAACAGTCCATACGCTCACTCTCTCACTGTTGAAAAACACAGAGATTCTGGAAAAGGCGTGACATGGAGTAAAAGCTGCTGATACCTCCTCCCAACCTTAATCCAGTCCAATCCTGACTTCTCTCTTCGCAAGACTCTGGAACCAAGATACAGCCTCAACAATTCACCCGTCGACTAGACACTCTTTTCTTTTCTTTTTTTTTGGACAGGAAGAGAGGATTTATTTGTAGCAGGATTATTTATTACAGAGAATGTCCTGAAAATAAACTGACCAAACACTACAGTTAATGTGCTGTATGTAAGGATGGAGAATCCGTTTCATTACACGCAGTGACTGAGAAAGTTCAAAACAAAACCAACCCCAAACTATAGTGCTTCTCCAGGTCTCTCTGCTCTCTTATCTCTTCCCTCTTTTTCTTTCTTTAAAAGACAAGTTAGGCAAAATAAATAAATAAAATAAAAATGGTGACAGTGATGAGATGGAAAGTAGGGCTATTCTGGGACTCAGAGCTTTTATCAGCTCAGAAGATGGATCAAAGCTGTTCCCGGGAAAAGTGAACCACTGTGATAGACTAGGCAATCTTAGCCTGGCTGGTTAATTTTAACTGAACTTCAAAATAACCATCTTATTTCAAAGCACTGATTATCTGTCACAGTATCTAAACTTTATAGAGAGTTTTTAAAATTTAACATGAATTTTCTGAGCGCCTGGTGGGCGTCACAACGGGACATACACAGTACTTGGCATATAACGTTTGTGACAACTGGGTCCTGGACACTGTTTAAATAAAATTAGATAGAAGGCCTGGAGTTAAAAAAATGCATACCTTGGCATGATGTAAATCCACCCCATACATGGAGAGCTTTTTGGCATTTTCCAAGAAATACATCTCTGCTTCTGCGGGCGTCATGCCTCTGATAAGAAGAAATGAGAGGTATTACAATGCTGTTTTTTTTTTTTTTTTTTTTTTTTTAAACCTGGTGGAGCCATAATATTTTCCACTTAGCTCCCTTGCAAGTTTCCACAGAGGCACCAAAAGATTTGTACTCTGGGGGAGGCGGGGGGAGAATACCAGGAAAATGGCTCTTAGCAGAAACATCACAAGGACGTCCCGAGTAGGAGTGTAACTACCCAGAACTGTACCAGGTCCAGAACCTCACTCTGCACTGACTTCAGTCCCGGGAGAAGCAGGTGGTGCAGGGGATGCCCACCCACCGAGCACAGCTTAAACGGATGCTCTCGGGGTTCCTGCCGCTAACCTGTGGCTCTTGTGCAGCTCGATGACTTTGTCTTCTAGTTCTTTTGTGTGGTTTGGCGCGAAGCGGAACTCGCTGATGTAGTCACTGCCACACTCATCTGGGTCGTAGTCTCCCAGTTCTGACTGGACGGTGTATGAGCCCAACGTGGCAAGGGTGACAGAGGAGCAGGGCAGCCTGCCAGACACGATGTCATCGCGCAGCTGTAAGCAGAGGTAGTACCTTCCAGGAGCCAGAGGACGGGCAGAAAGCCAGCGTTAGGAGACTGGAAAGGAGACTGTCCAGTACAAAGTGGGCGGCAAGCAAGCTCTCCCTGCAGAATAATCCACTAGGACATATTGTCTAGCATCTGTATCTGGATCTAAATACTAGGGGAAGATACTTAGCTACAAAATACAACATTTAAGGGCATCTAGAGGCAAGTTCATAATAATACAGGGATTCACTGATGAGACACAGAATAAAAGAAACCTATAGACTATCTCTCTAACATTAAGATAACGTTGAAAGTCAAACAAAATCTCTGGTGGGGGAAATTATAATATAAAAATGGTGCTCTTAAATATAATGATTAGGCCCCAACTACCTAAAGGAAGTCTCACTTTGCTATCTAGATGAAAGGTCCTGCCACACGATCAAGACAAATTGCAGGTAACTCAACGGCTGCGCCATCATGAACACTACCTGCCACTTCCTGCGTTCCTGATGAGAGGAGCTTTCTCCTGGGTCAAGCTCTCATTCTTTTCTTTAGATAACTTCCTAGAATTCAACCGTTACGAAGACTAACTTTGAAGAATGATTACCTTAAAATCTCATCACTAAAAGCAAACAGTTCTAAACTGGGGGACTGTGAAACGTTTTCCGTATAATTTTGCCAATATCATATGCAAATATCTCCATTAATAGCTGACTTTTACCTTCCCTGTTATTCTGCTTCTAAGAGCGACAGATATACTAACAGTAGAAGACTCCAAGGTAAGTGGGAACATTGGTGAATTTTATTAACAGTCTTCGTGGCCCAGCATACGAGTATAAGAATAAAATATACCTTGTACCTTTCACACAAGAAATGAACTGTTAATCTGCTGAAGCTGAGGACTATAGGATAAAGTGTTAGGGTCCCCTCTAAATACGGTTTTAAGCTGATGATGTAAGTAAATGCCATGTAATCCAGATACAAAACTTCCTACACATTTCACAGGCCCTACACACGTGACACAAATGGAAAGGAATCATGCACTAGATTCCAACTCAGAGTATATATATGCTCTCTAACCATAAATTAGCCACAATTAAATAGTCCCTCGACTACTAAAAAGTATCTTTATATAAGAAATTACAAGTTGTTTTTTGATTTAATGAAAATATAAAAGAAGTCTTCTGGAACTAGTTTTTCCCCTTCTCCTAACGTGTCTGCTGAAATGATTTTTCATCATAGCAAGTGACTAAAGCTTTTTGAGTAACTTCTCTTTCCTGAAAAGCCTGCCAAGAAGGGTTGTAAGGCCACACTGCACAGCATCACTCTGACTGGCTATAAACTTAATACGAAACACGGTGAGAAGACCAAGGATTCCAAAGTAGAAAGCATTAGAAGAGGCCTAGAGGGACACACAGCAAACCCAGAATGGCTTCATAAAGAGATTCCTCCTCATACTCAAAGCTCAGTCACCAGGCCAGACTGTTAGATTCCTTTCTTGATACCTTTTCTCTAAAACGAATGAAACATCTTCCTTGTATACAGAAGGTGTGCAAGGTACACTCTTAGGTGTGCACGTGTTTATGTGCATTTGTGTGTGTGTGTGTACGCCTGTGTGATTTTTTAAAACAGCCACCACGTATCAGACTTTATATAAAAAGGCATAAGCATCCGAAGACACACTTTTGCTCTAAGTTTTGAAGGAGGAGCACTAGGAACTGTCGTATCATTTAAGGCTGAATCCCGTCAAATTTGACTGTGGTGGGTAGATGACAGCATCTCAATTCTGTGTGTTTTCCCACCAGGGTCAGGCAGAGGGTAGTATCAGCTTAGCACCAAAGATTCAACTGGCAACAGATAATGATTTGGCAAATCTTCTCATCGGATGTTTGCTCTCATTCAGTTGCCTTCTGTTTGCCATTTCGGCGTGGATGACGGTAAGGTCACCAGATGTAAGCCTGCCCTCCGCCCGAGAATTTAACAGGAGCACAACTCCCAAGATGCCTGCCTTTTTCACTGCCAACTTTCAAATACCTGGTGATATCTTCAGAGAGCTGGGAAGGGTCTGGTGGGTAAAATTTCACATTAAATGAAAAGTGCCAAGCACCACCTGCGGAGAGGAGAAAAAATCAGAATAAAGTCTTAGACAATCCCTTTGTACTTATTATACTAAGCGGTGGCTAGAACTGCCCTAACTCCAGGCACTAACACCCAGGCAACTTTTAATCATCAATGGAAAATAGGGAAGTCTCCTTTTAGTGAAATTCACAGGTAACTCTGAAACTTGCTCCAGTTTCTAATCTTCTGCCCCATCCAATCCTTTGCTGGGGTTTCTAACTAGCAAGGAAATTGACTAAACTTCCTCCCTTTCTCAGGGACAAAGGCCTTGGGAAGAGGGAAAAAAAGTAAACGAGACAGATAAGCCTCAATCAGACGAGTCTAGGGCTGACCGGAGCTACTCTCTGAAGTTCTGGAGAGCTCACATACCAACATTACAGACAGAATCCCATTTCCTTTGTCCTTTCTGCTTTGTTATGACAGGTCAGATCCCACAATAATACATGTCAAGGGACTGCTCAGGATATCTTTATCTTATGGGAAAGGTTGGCTGTCATATTAAGAGATGAGCTGCTCTGTGGGCCATTCGGAAAGTTCTTTTCTTACTTGGGGAAATTTCTGATGGAAGAGACACTGGGGGTATGTACTGTGCATTACCAAACCCAGCCCTCCACCTCAGCCCCTGATCAGGACGGTCCTCACTGCACGCGGCCACCCCTCCTCCTGTGGCATCTCCTATGGCCTCTCCAGCGGGCAAGGGGGTCACCCAGACGCCAGCTCACAGGCACCTGCTCCCCAGACCGTCCACATGTATACGTGAGACATTACAAGCCTTCCTGTGTGCTTCGTTTTATCCATGCATTCTCTAGTTGTGTATACCTAACCACGTTTATCACCGTAAATGAGAATAAAACCCGCCTTTTCTTCTTTTCGACACTTACTCTCTCTGTGATCACCCCTGTCACTTATTTTCACCCGGGTCTCTCCGTCTGGCCTTTTAATAAATGCAGTATGTTACTGAAGCCTGGGTGCTCCTTCGCCGGGAACTGTTTCCATTTCTTCCCTCCACCCAGTAAGCACACTCCAAGGGCCCAGGCCCTGCTCGCTCTGAACGGCGGCTTGGAGGACCCTCCTGGTCTCCCAGCTTCGGTGCTGGAGGCCTTTCCTCCGAGCCGTGGTCTTCCTTTTGCTCTGTGATTCATGACCTCGTGGTCCAGCGCTCATGCTTCAAATGCCCTCCTAAGACTTCCAAACACCCCCTTCTCCCATTCAGTGACTCCTGGAAGTTCCATTCTCTCCCCGAGTCCTTCCCAAACATTCACAAGAAAGGGACAACATCCTAAGTACCTCCTGGCTCCTTCCTTTGAACTGGTCTCTTGCTTGAGCAGCAAATACTTAGCTGCAGAGGTCACCTGTATTTCTGTCATCCATGGCATAGTCCATTCACTAATTCTGGTTTATTCTGGACACCGCTATTCATATTACACTTAGAGGTCCACCTGGCAGGGACACCATTTGAGTTGCCTTATAAAGGACTTGGTATAAGGACCGGGTATTACTGGCTGTTTCGTGTCATTTCTAAACCACTAAGAAAATATTCCCAAAACGTGGGCTGTAAGAATTACAAGCCATAAAATATCTGGCAATCAAACCTATTTCTAGCGATTATTTTTCCCACTGTTCTCAAAAACGTCCTCTTGTTATTCTAAAATTAACAAGTCTGATTTGGTTTTACTTTCCTATTGATTCCTATTCACCTCCTGCTAAAATGGAATGCTTGCCAGCCATGAGGTTCATAATGAGAGCTGGTTTCCCTGCAAGCAACTGGAATGAAAGCTAATGGATTCGTTATGGGAAATGGATTTATTGCTCTTTTATAATTTTTATCCACTTCAAAGTGAATCCAATGAATCGTTTAGCAATGTAATTAAACTCATAATAAATTCAGGGTAAACACTCGAAGTTGGAAACTAAGAGGGTATAAAAATAGAAGAAAGATATTTCAATGCAAAAATCCTCATTACAGGAAAGTGACTTTCAAATGATCGTGGGCCTAAGAAGCATCGGAGGGGCTTGTTAAAAATGCCAATCCCTAGGCCCTACTCAGAGGTTTTTATTCCGGAGATGTGCATTATGGCCCAGGAACTTGTGATTTTAATAAATACCCTAATGGTTCTAATACACTTGACCGTACTTTGAAAATCACTAATCCCAAGGAATCTACTTTCCTAAGGTTATAACCCAATCAAATATGAGGTTTTGCAGGACATTATTTTGAAACGGTGGGAAAGTTTACGGAAGACACAATCTACACCACAATCAAGGAAAAAAAAAATCCAGTGAAATGAGGTGTAGCATTTGAAATTAATGAGAGAGGCAGATTAAAGCGGAAATACATATCCTCGTAAAGAACCTGGTGGAAACATATCACTGGGAGGCTATAGTTATGCCATAAATAGGTTTGTGAGCCTGTGCCTGATCAGATGACGGCTCTGGTTAGGGACGGAAATGCAAGAGCCTGAATGCATTAAAATGACATCTATAACGCTGATATAGGATTTTAAATTCCAAATTTATGATAATCAGAAAACTGTGAAACTGAAGAGAATTCATTCTTATGAAAAAATTCTAATTTTAGTCTTCTATGCCTGCCAAATCTTAAAATTTCTAACTATACTACAGTTCTAGCATAAATCACTATGTATCATATATTCTATATCATGAAGTTACTATATCATAAATATACTCGATATCAGAATACATTTAGAAATTTTAGGTCTGCTAGGCATAAAAGATGACTGGAATAAGAATTTTTTTCACAAGAACAAACTCTTCAGGCTCAGGATTTTCTATTTCTCATAAATTCATAACTTAAAATCTTTTTCAGCTTGATTGCCATTTGCCATTCTCTTGAAGATCTCATTCTAGAGACCTACTGTGGACCTACAGCATAAAAATAATGGAAACATCCTTTTATTGTCGATATTTATGTTCAGCAAGAGGAGGTGATTGTACAATAATTACATTAGCTCTGATAATACTTTTCTGCCTTGATAGAATGTACCTTTTGTGGAAAGAAGGCATTTTGTGCATGGGAAACAATAAGGAATATAGATAAAAACACCAAATCCCATTCCTAAAAATTTCCCATTTTTTCTTGTCTCCTCCTTTATCTGCATGATTGTCACTTGGTTTTCATTACGTTGCTGTCACAAACACTGCCTAATCTACATGAGGAAAATATCCTTTAAATCTCATGTTCCAGTTGCCCCCTAAACTTCCTCTCTTAGAAAGGAAGGTCGGAGACAGGATAAATGGGAAATGAAGGAAAAAAAGAATTCCATTAACAGCAGAAAAGAAAATTAACTGTTGTTACAGCCTTTCTTGTAACAGTATAATGACTTATCCTTGAACATGTAATATATTTTCAAAGTGCTCTGTTAACTATAAAATCAACCGAGTACGAAACGGCGTTTTATTAATTAGGTGAATACAGAGGACTTAAAGCACATGAAATGTTAAGATATTCAGCACATCTGCTTTTAGTAACTCCATAAAAAGATCCTTAGAACATATTCACCATCTTAAAGTTTCTACTAGGACTCTGAAGTTTTCACCTTCTTATCACAACTGTAGCTGTCCCTGGTTTTAATCCCAATTTAGTTCTATCAGACTACCTCACTATCACGTTTCTGATTAGTGACCACACACCGAACTCCTCTCAAAAACATGGTAAAGATGTTTTCGTTGTACAAAGAATCATCAGACTCTCTAATACCTAGAAGCATAGTGAATTTTTTGCTTCTTCTGAGATATTATCTAGTATTAAGCCATTTCAAACTGCTCGCTACTAATTACTTTTTATTAGCATGTAGGGTATTTTGAGACCTCAGAACATTCAAAGGCACTAGAAAGATTTGCTCTCTTTTAATAGTAACTTTGATGGGAATGCTGTCCTTATTAATAAATTGGTCTTAAATTTAATCTTCAAATAGAATCAGTTGTTCTGGAAAATTAAACTAGATTTTATTGATAAAAAATGCATTGCTTGAAAAAAATTAACTAGCTAGCTGAAATTATAAAGTATATCCATGTTTTACCATTTATCCACAGTAAAAAGCAACAGCTACAGAAAAGGCTTAAAAATAAAAATGAAAAATTTCCTTTTTCTCAGTCCCCTACCCTGCAGTGCCACTTCTGGAGGTATAGGTATTTCCACATACCTATCTATGCATAACTCATTTTCAACAAATATGAATTATTTCTCTAAGGTCTCACTAATGAGAGCTAAAACATATTCTATTTAACAGCTACCTAGTATTTCAAGGTATGGCTATTTCATGATCGATTTTATCATTTCTTTATAAATGGATATTTAAGTTGCTTTGAGTCTTCTTTTGCCAATGGTTTGACAATGAACTTTCCTACATGTACACATATGTACACACTCCTCTCTTAAGCAGACACTGGATACATTTCTACAAGTAAAATCAGGGGTCAAAGAATAAGCACATTTTAAATTTTAATAAATACTGGCACAAAGTGCCTTCTTAAAGGGTTATATTTCTACCAATTGCGTAAAAAATTGCCAGTGTAGGGCATTATTAAACTTGTGAAATCTTTGCTAATCTGAATAGCTGAACAATGTCACATTTTAATTTGCATTTAGTTATTACTAAGACTTAGTACCTTTTCTAATACTTATTAGCTACCTGTATTTAAATTTTCTGAGTGGCTCATGTAATTGTTTTGTGCGCTAGGAAATGTCCATTTCTTAAATTGCCTTTAGGGCTAAGAAAAGAAGATGTCACCAGACAGTAAACTTCAGTCTGACTTGCTACCCCGTTTCTAAGCTATTAAATGACTATTACTTTTACTGCTTGCCTTGCATACTCTGGTGGCAGTTAGGCTTAATACAACATTAATAATTAAGTTTGAAACTTTTAGATGATTGTCAACGGGGGCATCCCTTGATTAAATCATATCTCACATCTCTGAACAGGCAAGGGAATAGGCCAAGTGTCATGTCATTTTATTCCCGGGTCGTGATAATTAATAATGGGTATCTGAGCTAGACCAACCTGCCAAAGATAAAATTTGAGATCTTAATCTGTCTTTCAAAATACCGTATTCACACCAGCCATGTGGGTAATGAGCTACCATTTCAGATAACCCCACTCTTTGAAAATCTTCCTATTTCTACACATAATAATCCAAAAGAACTTACTTCGAATCTGTTTTTTAATTTCCTTAGCAGGGTCCAACCAATTCTGAAAAAGAAGTGAGAGTCTGAATATGAATCAGAGAAGAATGGAGATGACTTAGTGTTGACTGGGTAGAGATGAACTAAACGTATTTGAGAAGGAGTGGCTGCCGGAAGGCTCCCCCAGCTGGGTCCTTCCCCTACATCTGGTGCCCCTTCGCTAGTCCTGCAAAGGCCCAGGCTCTGGTCTAATGAGAAGATGTGTGTGCACACAATTCAGGCTTGACAAAGTTCTTTTCTTTCACAACAAGTGCCTTCAGGGATTCAAGCTAGCACAGAAACAGAGGAGAAAAAATGGTGGATTCTATGTTCAAACAAGTTACAAGCATGAGCTAAAGATACAGTCATCCTTTTGGTAACCACAGGGGATTGGTTCCAGAACCCTAGGTAACACCAAAATCTGAGGATGCTCAAGTCCCTTATATAAAAAGGCACAGTATTTGCATATAACCTATGCAACGCCCCCATATACTTGAAATCATTTCTAGATTATTTATAATACCTAATTCAATGGACATGCTATGTAAATACTTGCTGGTACACTGGCAAATTCAAATTTTGCTTTTTGGAACTTTCTGGAATTAAAAAAAAATATTTTTGATCTGCTGTTGGTTGAATCTGCAGATGCAGAACCCAAGAACACAGAGAGCTGACTCTGCATGTAACTTGACCACTGATGTCCTAGCCGTTCAGTCCCATGCAGCGACTTCTGTGATTATAGATTTTAAGGCACCTTCTTAGAATGCTTTCCTAACAAACGAACACTTGACACTTAGGATTTTCCTCATCAGAACACTCAGGTGTTTAATAATGAAGTTAGACATCATCCACAGAATTCAGTAAAGATAAAGTATGATTCACTAACGAACGACAACAGAACAAGTGACATTTAATGAGCACAATTGCTGTGGCTCAGTTTCCAGCATTAAGGAAACAATTTCTTCCTCCTTATCTTTCAGGCAGTTGGGGGGATAAGTGAGATAAAGGCCTGAAGAGACTGCAGCAGGTATAAGAGTCTACACAGGTTTTACATTGTATCATTAAACGTGGACTGAATACATTAACTGCTTGCCTTGTACATCCGGTCTGTACATGATTCATCTCATATTGTGATTCAGCAAGAATATAAAAGTGTAATGAGATGAATTAATAAGATGGCATCCAGTGAACATGTTTTCTGTATAATTATCAATTTATGTGATTCTCATTGGCTCAAATCCATGGAAATATATCATGCCCCCCAAAGCACCCATATAAAATGCTTTTCTGGAACCATAAAGAACTCAAGAATGAAAAGCAGAAACACTGACTGACTGACTGTTTCCAAAAGACTCAGGATTAAAGGAAGTTGTCAATAATTTCCTTCATGAAGAAATAAGGTGCTTAACAGCATTTAGGGCCTTGGATAACAAATGTGAGGGCGTGGGAGTACGAGGCGAGGTGGAGAAAATGATTTACCAATTCAGTTTCAGTTCACTTTCCTGCAGTGAAGCACAGTTGAAGCCGCAATACTTTGTATTGCTTTCAACCACTCACCTTCTGGTTTTCGGCATCTCGATATGTAAGCCCAAAATAGTCTTTTTCTAGCAAATTCAGATGTTCACATACTTTATCAAACAGCACTTGGCCTCTGGAGCGTTTCTATGGAGAACAAAACAGAAAAACAAGTCAACACACACCAAAAAAGTTCTCTCAATTGCCACGAACAAAAATGGGTAAAATTTAAAATATTGCTCGTTGTAACTGTTCAGCAAATAACAAGCAGGTTTGATCACTTTACCATCTCCTTTTTAACTAGAAAAAAAAGGCTCAATAAAGTGGACCTAATCCTACAAGAGGCAGCTCCTACAGAACAAACAAATAAATAAAAAAATAACTCCTGTCAGTGAGTAAGTACAGGCGACCTGCGGATGATTTCGAAACGCAAGTAGTTGGGGAAATGAAGTGGTGCTCGGAAGCCTCAAATATATTGTGAAACACAAAAATCCTGACGGTGAGAGCATTAAAGGGCCAACCACAGCTGTGTTTCAGAATACCCACGCTCACTCCCCCAGGGGATCAGGTTCTGAGTTTGAGAAGAATCAACCCCATTCCTTGTCTTAGGCAGAAGTGCCCTTCAAACTTTCTATCCCAGTCCTTACTTAGAAATTCTACCTATGCATCACTTTCTAAAGCCTGTTAAACTTTATTAGTTTTTGTTTACAGCCACAAATTTCAATTTTGTATCACAGAGTTCAACTTTCTCTTAATTTTTTTTTAGAGAAAATCCTTTCTATTAAACATAAAAACATGTTCATTAAGTTTAAAGATTTAAATTATCATTTATAAATGTAAGATGTAGACATGTGTGCTGTATTTTTGTCCATAAAGCAGTCAATTGGAGAAAGAAAAAAGGCAGTCATCTGGGGAAATCAGATCCATCAGCTTAATTCATGGTGATACACAGTATCATATTTTCATCAAAGGTGTTTTAAACTTGGCCTTGGAGTCTGAGATGGATTAACTGGAAGCAGTTAAGCTAAACTACATTTTGTTTGTACGGTACCAACATTTCACATCTCGTACCTTAAGCGTATTTGTCTTTAAGATTTAATGTAGTAAGAGAAAAATAAGAAAATTGACAAACGATGGGCATACCAAAAGAGTACGTATCCAGAAGACGTGTTAAGTGGTATGTATTACTGTGCAACCACAAATATACTGGAAATTACTTAGTCCCCTCAAGCATGACTATTTAGGAGAAAAGATAAATGTAGGATAGAAAAGTGAAGCTTGAATTGTAACCAGCTGAATAATCAATGTTGTATTTGAAAAAAGTTTAATAATGTATGAAAATAAATTACATGTTAGAAAAACTGTGTAACATTGTTCAATGGATATAAATAAATGGTATGACAATGAAATGCTGCTCGCTGGTTTAAATCCTTTATTTGTAAATAACGGCATATTGCTTCTGAATAATGCTTAACAAATTATAAAGTTTGCACCAAAAAAACCTGGTTCTTCTGATGCTTCCACTGGTATGATGTCCAGTTTAGAGATAAGAACACAGAGGTTCAGAGGAGTTACATGGGAGAGGCAGTCTTAGTGCTGCCTATGACGGTGGCTTTAACAGGTAAACCTGGCTTTGAGTCTTCCTTATGTCCCTTGCAGCTGTGCGGACCTCGAAGCTTTCCCTCTATAAAACGGGTATGATACCATCTACTTCTTTGTAATGGCTGACATTAAAATGAAACAAAGTATTCCAACTTGGTCCAGTGATAACACGTCAAGCATCCCACAAACGTCAGCCATTGATATTATCAGCCTACGTGATTGATAAATGGTAGAATACGTAATACAGAACTCACTAGGATTTTTGTGGTAGGAGCACATATACAGCTCCTTGTGGTACCAATAAGCATCCTTAGTATTAATATGCCCTGCTCTTTCTTCAGATATCAATTATCTGCTTACTGTCTAACTGCTTTAACTAGAACACACCACACACACACACACCAATACATACCAGTGTCTGTACTTTCCAAGAAAGTACTGGCCAAGTACTTTCTCAATGAGTAAAAACAAACCAAAATAAAACAAATACAATACACCTTCCTCTACAAAGCCTTCTACATCCTCTGAGCCAGCAGCAGACCACAGCCAGGCCCTCAGTGGAGGAATTATTCTGCTCATGCTGCAGGCGGCCTTGGGCATTGTTTTATTAGCTGTCTTCTGGCTGCTGTCTTCTTCCTTTTGTCTAACAGGTGGAATGATTAGCTCAAGCACAGGCCACTGTACTAACCGGTTCTTAATTTTCTGGCTTCTCACCATTTGATTGCTATTAATGAACCACAGCTCTCTCTTGAACAGACCAGATTTTTTTCTTACTATTTTAAACTTATTTGAACACTATAAACAGTCCTTAAGACAGTAACATAGTGGTCCATTCTTCACTCTGAAGGGTTTTTGGGTTTGTTTCTGTTTGTTTTGTTTTGGCCCTAAGAACTAAGACGGGTTGTCTAGAATCCGCTATGGATGGTTATATGTAAACAATGAAATTCCTATCTGCCAAACATCACCACAGCCGCCAGCCAGCTGGGTGACACTGGAAAGGTCTTTCACGTTATGTGGGCCTTCACCTTCTCATCCTTGAGTGAGGATACATGACTCCATGGAGCCAGGTGATCACGCGCTTGAGGCTGTAACTGGGCACCTGTGCTCATGGCCAACATCACTAATGATCACAGCTCACTCCCCCATGCAGCCCAAATGCGGCTTCAGAGCCCTACCGCACACGTGACGAGAAAGACCCTGGCGATGGGTGGAGTTGGCACAGGACACAAAATGGGACTATTTTGCAGCCCCAGACAGGATCCCCTCTGCAATCACTCCCAACTCCCCCAAACTCTTGATTCTTCTTACTCAGGTAATTTTTTTCTAGTGCATTATTTAACTCTTTAAGTCAATTATTTCTACATGTTGACACTGTGTGCATCTTTAGGTAGTAACATCTAAAATATGACTAAAGCTCAACCGTCACTGGACCTTTTAGAGAATTTATGTTAAATATTCGGTTCCCAAAGATAGGATGTTCATTAAGTGACCAAATCTAGGCACCTTACTTTCATTGGGTATGTTTATAACAGCTACAATGAAGCTAGTGGGAAGCAGTCGCATAGCACAGGGAGATCAGCTCGGTGCTTTGTGACCACCTAGAGGGGAGGGATAGGGAGGTGGGAGACGCAAGAGGGAAGAGATATGGGAACATACGTATATGTATAACTGATTCACTTTGTCATAAAGCAGAAACTAACACACCACTGTAAAGCAATTATATTCCGATAAAAATGTAAAAAAAAAGAATTCAGTGGATTAAAAAACATTTTTTGGACAGAGGTATTCTAAAATCAATGGGTAATCTACTTAATTGGAGACGATGAACAGCTTTTAGTCTCATTTGCTGTTTCCTGTGAGTTGTTAAGTCACGTCTCTGACTCAAATGCATTCGCAGTCTACATAACCATTGACTTTTAACACCTGGACATTAAAGAAAGTGGATTTTGCTTTCCTGGAGTAACAAACCAATGGTGGACTGCCCTCTCTCTACCCTCTTTTTCCACTTAAAATTGGGTTTCAGTTTCAAATAGAGAAGACGAGGATACGTCCATCATCACCACTCAAACCCAGCAGATGAAATAAGCTTTTCTGCAGCATTAATGAAACTTCCTGCAAGTCCAAGATAATTCAAGATTTTTACAATGTTGGTAAAACACTGGTTCTCAAGGTCTTATCAACCAGCATCACCTGAAAGTTTACATTAAATTTTTTATTTGTACTTTTATTTGTCTAACAACTTTAAAAAACTAATTTCAGAATGTTTTAGGATGGGAGAACTTCCAACATTTCCCAAAGTAGAGAGAACAGCATCATGAAAGCCTGCATACTCATCACCCAGTTTTAACAAATGCCTCTGAAGACAACTTTGGTTCCTCCGGAGTTCTGCTCCACTCAACCTCCCCGCTGGGTATTCTGAAGCATCTCAGCAAATAATTTTGTCTCTATTTATCTTAGTATGTAACTCTGCTCTTCTAAGAAATGTAATCTCAATAACTTCATCACATCTAAACAAAAGTAGCAATCAGTTCATAATATCACCAAATATCTAGTCAGGACTTTAATTTCCCCAATTATTTCAAAGATTTTTTTTTTTTCTTTTTCATTTTCCTTGATTAGCCCATACACTGCAATCGGCTGACATAACTCTCTGTTCTCTCTTAATCTGCAAGTTCTCCATTTATGTTGGTTATTAACTTGTCTAGGAGACCAGGTCATTTGCCTGTAGAGTTCGCTCAGTCTAGACTTGCTGTTTGCATCTCCATGGTGTAATTTAACATGTTCTTTTGTCTTCTGTATTTCCTGTAAACTGACAGTGAAATCTAGAAGCTTGACCAGATTCTTGTTCGACTGGTTTCCATAAATGATGCTGTGCAATTTCACCACGAGGCATAAAGTCAACTCTTGGCTTTTTGTGATATTAGCAGTCACTAACGATCGTTGCCCTAGACCCATTAATTCGAGGTGGCGAGATGGGGATATTCGAATCCGAACCTTGGTCCCCTATTTATTAGTTGGAGTAGGTCTATGAAGAGACACTTCTCTTTGTCAGAATTATTTATCCAGTGACATAGTCTGATGACGGAAGCCAGGATCAATGCTCACACCTTTTCCTTTATCCAATTTCAAGATAACGAGTTGGCTTTCTAGCACCATCCGGAAGTCACCAATCAGGATCTTTGTTTTATATTTTATCACTATGAACTCATGGGCTAAATCAGGCTTGACATGTTTCAGTCCATTACAGGTGTTACCCACATTGATGCTCTAAATGTCCCCAAGTGCTCTGCCTTACATTTTGCCTGCCAACTCTCATCCTTCACAATGCTTCTCCAGTGTCACTTCTTTACAGCATTTCCTGTCCTCCCAGCCAAATGTGACTTCTCTCACCTTTGGACAGTAGAGCACTTTATGGTACCAAGAGGGCACTTTCCATGTTCTGCCTTATATCACAGCTGTCTCTCTGTGCACTCGCCTTGTATCCGGACTGACTATAAAGACACTTCTGGTGGCAATGTGCCTCCTATATTTATTTTCTATGGAGC